ATCCCTTTCTGGGAGAAGTTGCAGCAAACATAAATGTTTATGCATTCATGATGTGATTATATAATTGTCTTCTTTCTCAGCCACTGTCTCAAGGTGATAATGTAACGGCTGTCGCTGCTAACTAAAATCCAGGGTATCTGGAAAGGGGTATGGGCGAGCCCTTTTGTCATACTTTATAACAGCTCACCTTAGCAATCAGGATCAGCTAAGGAAAAAGAGCTTTCTCATTTCATTTGGAATCAAGTAAACTAATAACTCTCCTGTTTTCCCTGAATTAGGCATTGGCATTTTTCAGTTACCAACACCATTGTTCACACTTATCCCTTTAGAATCAAACAGCTTCTCATTTTCTGTGTCAACATCAGGTGAAACTTTCAATAATAATCATAACAACACAAGCACCACAAACTTATCATTTATGTCCAAGGCATTGTTCCACGTTCCTTCTCCATGGAGTCCCCAGAATAGGGACTCTATTAGGAACCCGTGGTACCAATGAGTAACCTGCACAGGTTACCACAGGATGAGGAACTGGAGGACCCGAATTTGAACTTACAGTCTGGATTCGGACACCAGGTGCGTGTCGACTCTGCCCCCCACTACGGGGGAAGACTCTCAGTCCAGCTTCTCCCTTAGTGGGGGGCTGCCATCTACCTCAAATTTTCCTGATGTTGGGTCTGTTTTGTTTTTTTAAAAAAATATATTTTATTGACTTTTTTTTTACAGAGAGGAAAGGAGAGGGATAGAGAATTAGAAACATCGATGAGAGAGAAACATCGATCAGCTGCCTCTTGCACACTCCCCACTGGGGATGTGCCCGCAACCAAGGTACATGCCCTTGACTGGAATCGAACCCGGGACCCTTCAGTCCACAGGCCAATGCTCTATCCACTGAGCCAAACCGGTCAGGCCGTTGGGTCTGTTTTAATAGAGAAAAAAATATCTGCCATGCCCATTGGCATTCTCAGGAGCCTTAATCATCAAGAGTCTGCAGAAACGTAATTCCTTACCCACCACGACATTTGATTTGCTGATTTTAAAATATTCACTTCCCGTGGATAGCTGCAGGAAAGAAGCATTTATACTGAAGCTGAAAGTAGTTAAAGGAGAAGGGGAGATAAATGGAGTCGCGTTGATTTTCCAGTCGATAAAGCATGTGCAGGAGCTGGAAAGGTGCATCCGACGTCTGAGTTGCATGACGACAGGGATGCGGGATGACGGGTGTGGGCCCAGTGCCTCGGAACCGGCCACCGGAGGGCCAGCGGAGGCGGCGTTGTGCAGACATTGATCTTCGTAAAGGTTTTTCAGGTGAGACATTGACAGCTCTCCTCATGGGTGCCTAGGAGAGACATAAATCTTCTATTTAATTCAAATATATGAAAGGGCCGAGTTATTTCTGAAGATCCCGAAGCCTGGAAGTCTATTTCATCAGGCACTCATTCCCCAAATGCCTTTATGGAGAGCATCTCCATAAATCACACGCGCCAGAAAGATCACCCATCAGCGCGGCGAATGTGTCAGGTGGAGGGGCCTTCAATCAAGGGATCGCCAGCCTGTACGCTTTTTTGCTTACTTGGTGCACTTTGCTGGGTTTGGGCCATGAAATCAAACAAGGCGCTCTCTCCCCTCCAAAACCCTCTCCACACACACA